GACATAACGCTTGTAGAGGTACAGTTTCAATAAGTTATATTTCACACCCCGCTCGCCTTTACATGGGTGCTACCTATTAAATTGGTTTCTTAATCGGTAATCTTCTTAATAATCTTAATTGTTACAATTTTTTATTTTTCTTTTATGCGAACCTTGTACCTTGACTAATAATTTAATAATGTGTATCAGAAACGAATGTACTTATACATTTCAATAAAAAGAATGTTTAAAATTTAAGTCTAAGACTACATAATATGTATTATAAAAAAAACCCTTTACTAATTAGCAGCTTTTCATTACACGACAGTGGCTTGTTGTGATAGAAACTTCAATAAAAACTAAATAATATATACACAATACAGATTGAGAGTATTTACAATTGTCGAGTCGCGGGCAAAGTACATGTTTACACCAAATTCTACAGAACAAGGTACAGTCTGCTATTTAGGCATTCCTCATATCTCTTATCTTTGTAATTATGATAACAATATCAAACAGCATGATAATCTCCGACAATTACGTAAAGATAACGCATTCAGAGAATTATGTAAAAAAACCAAGATCCGTAACATTTACTGACATATTTTCCGAGTAGAACACGCGCTGCGCGTTGCAGTGTACTCGTACGTACGTAGAGGTACTGCCGGAGTGCCGGCTGCTAGTCGCTGCCACAGTTTGAGTTGCTAGTACCCGCAGTGGCGTGCCATTAGAGTCAAAGTCAAAGTTATATATTGCAAACATACGTAATAGGTACATAATACAGTATGAAGCATACATAATAATAGTGCGCTATGTTTCGCCTGTGTCGGCATGATAAGAAAATGTCAGATTCAATTTTATTAGTGAGAGTAACAATAATAACAATATGTATAATTAATTAGCGGACCTAACAGACGTGTCCTGCATTCCTTTTGTAAAAAATGGATTGGTACAACAGCAGGACAATAGAAGCACCTGTGCTAATTGCACAAAAAGTTGTTTAGATGCGACGAATGTTTTACAATAACCGCTGAATGAAACCTTCAAGTGTTGCATCAAATGCGTTCGCAATTTGAGCCGAATAATACGAGTAAAGGAATAAAAAAATTGAGTGAGGCAACTACTGTTGTTAAAACGGAAATACATCTCAACAATGTGACATCAACATCTGAGGGAATAACATTTTCAGAGCTTAATTTAACTGCCGAACAACTAAACGATTTGGATGAGGTACAAAAACGTCAGGAGCGCAACATCGGCAATATTCTGGTTCAGTCAGACTTGTCTGAGTCACCGAAGCCTCCCACTACGCCGTCAAGTCCTGGCGAACCAAGTCAAGACATCATCACGAAGCCGGGTTCGCCTGTGATGTTTAATTAATTACTACAATGTTACCAGAGCGATTAACTCGTTGAGTACCGTCATTATAGATACAATTAAAGCACAAAGCACAATACGGTCACCGGTGTCCTCGCGGTGTTTGAGTTTAATAGTCTATAATAAAAAAAATATTTAAATTACTTAATCTTTTTACCTCTATTTATTGCCACCCAAACACATGCAAAAAATCATTCAAATCGTTTTTATCGATGTATATTATATATAGATAAGTAACCTAATGACCACTACAGCGCCATCTGCCGAATTGTTTTTTTGTGAATGTAAATTTTCCAGGCCCCCAATTAAATGCATAAACAAAAATTCATTCAAATGGATCCAGCCGTAAGGGATAAGTAACATAGATATCGTTTGCAACGCAATCTGCCGGGCTGATTTGTGAATCTAAACCATCCAGGGCGTCCCCCAAACGGAAACAAAAAAAAAAACCATTCAAATCAATCCAACAGTTTAGTAACAGTATAGATAAATAACCTAGATAACAACTGAAGCGCCATCTGCCGGGCTGATTTGTAAATGTAAATTTTCCAGGGCGCCACTCAAACGCTTTCAGAAAAATTCATTTAAATTGATCAAGTCGTTTAGGTGGAGTTCAATGATATACACACGTACAGCAGAATTATAATTATATATAAAGATAATGTCAAATAGAGAAGTCTATAAATAATATAATTATCAGTCCATAGACACCTTACATTTATGTCAATATTAATTCTTATATTCTATACTATATAATATTACTATACAATAAATTCATAACCTAAGTATGAATGAGTAGGTGTGCGTTAATTATTTGCTAGATGGATTTATCTTGTAGGTACTCATCAACATTATAATAGGCCTTGTTTAACATTATATTTAATTTTGCGTTTAAATAAGTGATTATACTTGAGCTTAGTCCGAGATATCTTCTATATTCACTATGTAGTTCCTAAGCCCTTCGTATAATTACAATAGAACTTCACTTCAGGTAAGTTCGTTTAATTATAATTATTATTATTATTAGTGTCTAACCGTCAAGCAAATGACATGTAAGAAACCCGCGGTTCAGAAAACAAGTGTTCCAACATTCGTCCATAGATGGCGCTTTTTATTTGAGATCGTTTTCTGAATCGCGGTGTTAAGATTCTCCGGCAATACTATAAGGGTCCAACGAATTTATTTGAAAGTTAGTATCAAAATGTCACGTGCTATTGTATCGTAATTTTTATTGTACAATAATTAGGAATACAAGTGTTCGGTAACCACAACCAAGTACTTTTATTCAAATCAACCCCCAGCTTAACCCTCACGATACCCAGGGTTATCCATGGTCCTTCGAGCCGGATCAAGCGTCATAAATATAACGCTTTTCGGAGTTTTTGGGTATCAGCAGCCAGCACAGAAACCAGTGGTGGATCGTCACTGAAGTGCTCCCAGTGTCGCCGACAGAGGGCGCCACCGCAGTTCAAGCAATTGTGCGGGTAATTCCGGATTCTGGAGCTGGACATCAGTGGAGGCGGCATCCCAGTGTAGCTGAGCATCAAACCTGAGATCGGCGCGCCACCTGGCGGGCGCTGACATCAACAGCAAGCAAGCTGTAAACGACTGACGTCGTAAGGAAGTGAGTGATAGTGCGAAAAAACGTGAGTACTTTGTGATTTATTTCGTATCAAGCAAAAGTTAACCTTATTGCCTAGAAGACTTTAACTTAGAAAAAATCTTGGACTTAGAATAATTGGTATGTGTGTATGTTAGACTTAGTTAGATTTAAGCCAAATTGTGTTCAGACGGGGTACCTATGCCCGATTTTTAGTAGATTCTCTAAGTTTCAAACACTTAGAAAATTTTGGATATTTAAATGGACTTATAAAATTTCAAACACATAGAAACTTTTTGCTGTTTATAATAGACTTGTAGTTTATTTTTGGCATCTGTTTGTTTTTTCTGTGAATTTGTGCTTCAAAATGTCTTTGCAATCACATGTTAGGGTGCAAGATGACATTTACATCCGATTGTCAAGGGCTAAAAGTAATTTTAAAAAGTCTCCCAAAGATAGGATTACTGTACAATATTTACAAACTAGATTAGAAAGTATTGAAGAGTTATGGGCAGAATTTACTTTAACACATACACAGATGGTTAAAGATTTTGATCATAAGGAGTTATCATCTTCGCCTTATACTGTAAACGAGGTCTATTTTAACACTGAAGAATTGTATTTAGATTTAAGATGTGAATTAAAAACTGCATTAAGTAAAATTAAGAATAGTGACGTTCCTTCAGCTATGTCGTCAAATAATGATTCACCTGGTAAAGGCATAACTATTAAGTTACCGAGAATAATGATTCCCACTTTTTCCGGGAAATATACCGAATGGCCCACTTTTCGTGATTTATTTGTGTCAGCAATTCACAAGAATAGCACTATTGACAATGTCCAAAAATTGCATTATTTAAAAGGTTATTTGACTGGGGAAGCCGAACAGCTCCTCCGTCATATACCAATTTCAGAATCTAATTATGAAAGGTGCTGGACTCAGTTAGAGACCAGATATAATAACAGGAAATATCTATCTAATTGTATTTTGGGAAGGTTACTTAGTCAGAAAAATATTATGCAAGAGTCAGCTAATGCTTTAAAAGAGTTAATGGACACAACATCAGATTGCTTAAATGCGTTAATGAATTTGGATATTGATGTAACTTCCTGGGACATTATAATAATTCACATTGTAGCATTAAAACTAGATCCTAACAGCAGAAAGGATTGGGAATTAAAGGTAACTAGCAATATAGATTCGGATGAGTTGCCTACATTCGGACAGCTCAAAGAATTCTTAACAAGCCGCTATAGGGCGCTTGAATTTTTAGGTACTAAGTCAAGTAACAACAGTGTTGTCAAGGAAAGGGTATTTCACACGGCGGCCAATACAGCCAAGGTATGTCCAGTGTGTAATAGTAACGAGCACAAAATAAGAAATTGTAAACAATTTGTTAATAAGGATGTGGATATTCGGCGTAAGTTTGTCCAGGATCATAATTTATGTTTTAATTGTTTGGGGTACAACCACTCTGCTAGATTGTGTAAATGTACAGCTTCGTGTCAAATCTGTAAGCGAAGACATCACTCCTTACTGCACCCTAAAAATGAGCAGGAATCTGCTGGTGATAAGGGAGATCCATCAACGCAAGCACATTCAACCACTGTCGGAGTGGAATCTCAAAACAAGGTAGTAGCTTGTTTCTCAAAAAGTGGAGTGAGTAGTCAGGTCTTGCTGGCCACAGCGCTGGTGAGGGCTGTATCCAAAAACGGTTTGTTTACGATCAGAGCCCTGTTAGATCAAGGCTCACAAGCGTCTTTTGTTACAGAGCGTACTGTGCAGAGTTTAGGGTTGCGTAAAAAAGCGGTTAAGGGTTCAATTACTGGCATAGATGTTAATAACAAATTAGTATTAAATTCGGTTGTTGAGGTCAAAATTCAATCTAGGATTGATCCGTCATATGAACTTGTAGTCAAAGCATACGTTCTCAAATCTTTAACGTCTTTATTACCGGGTAGAGAAACGTCATATTTAGATTGGGCTCAAGTTAGTGACATTGAACTAGCGGATCCTAGGTATCACAAACCGGATAAAGTTGATATGTTGTTAGGGGCAGAAATCTATAGTCAGATTTTGCAGAACGGGTTCAAAAAGGCTCCTGATGGCAGCACAGTAGCTCAGGCTACCTCATTGGGATGGATTTTATCGGGTACAGTTACTTCTGCTTCTCAGAATACATCCAATATTACCGTGATGCATACCCAACTCGGTGATGATGAAATCCTGAAAAAATTCTGGGAATTAGAAAGAGAACCAAATCACATCAAGAAACATTTACTCACCGAAGAGGAATCCAGGTGTGAGGAAATATTTAAGGCTACAACTACTAGAGAAAAGGACGGTCGCTACGTTGTTAACTTACCATTTAAAAGTGAAGATCCAAGCTGTCAATATGGTGATACAAAAAAGGCTGCAATTAAGAGGTTTTATACATTAGAAACTAAATTCGCCAAAGATACACAGTTAAAGGAAAAATACGCAGATGTTACACTAAAACATTACAAATTACTTACTGTTACCTTTGGTACCTCTTCAGCACCTTTTTTGGCAGTGCGATCGATGCAGCAAGTGGCGTACGATGAGGGAATTAAATATCCATTCGCAGCTGAAAGGGTACTTAAAGATTATTATATGGATGATTTGATGACTGGTTGTGACACGATAGAAGAAGGCATGCAAATCTATAATCAAATGAATGAGTTACTTGCAAAGGCGGGATTCACTTTACAAAAGTGGTCGAGCAACAGCAGTGAATTACTGGAAAAAATGATCGGGAAAAGATACTCGTTCAAGGGTCAGCAAAATGTAGAAAAAGAGATAAGTATAAAACAAGATGAAGTATTTAAAACGTTGGGACTTACCTGGAACCGAACCTGTGACACTTTCCAATATTCCGTTCAGCTACCTGCGCTGCAAGAACCTGTAACAAAAAGGAAAATATTATCAGATATAGCAAGACTATTTGACCCTTTAGGATGGGTCGCCCCAGTAATTATTGTAGCAAAAATGCTTATTCAAAAATTGTGGATTTCTGGGATAGCATGGGATGAGGAAGTTCCATGTGAAATAAAAAAGGAATGGCTTACTTACCGACAGGAGTTACACTTTTTAACGAAGTTTTCAGTACCTCGATGGTTACACATGAAGCACGGTGACAAGCAGATTGACTTACACGGTTTTTGCGATGCGTCAAAATCAGCATATGCTGCGGTAGTATATGCACGGGTTGTCGATGCTGATGGTGGAATACATGTCAACTTGCTGACCGCAAAAACTAAGGTGGCTCCTATAAAGACTGTATCAGTCCCTCGATTAGAGCTGTGTGGGGCTGTTCTCTTGGCCAAACTGCTATCCGAAGTTTCTGAGGTTATGGGGATAAGTAAATCAAATTTGTACTACTGGACTGATTCAGAGATTGTATTAGCGTGGTTAAATTGCCATCCGAACAAATGGAAAACATTCGTAGCAAATCGAGTTTCTGAAATCTTATGTATCAGTGAACCACAGCAATGGAATCATGTTCAGTCAAAAAGCAATCCGGCTGATTGCGCATCGCGTGGTCTGTATGCGTCAGATTTTTTGAACTTTAAACTTTGGTTAGAGGGTCCAAGATTCCTGAAGGATACAAATATTATATATAGTAAACACAAGGCAGCATCAACAGACGTAGAAGCAATAAAAGTACACGTAGTATCAGAAGACAACTTTATTTGGGATAAATACTCATCACTTACAAGACTTGTTAGAATAGTAGCATATTTAAGACGTCCTTTAGAATTAAGAAAACCAAAACCTGAAAGAAATAATCATACATTTATAACTGCCGAAGAGTTGAAATTAGCTTTGGAGACATGTATAAAGATATGTCAGGATCGAAATTTCGAAGAAGTAATTCTGGATCTGAAAAAAGAGAAGCCTAAAAGAAAGGAGTTTAAATCATTAAATCTTTACCTTGATTCCGTTAATATCTTGAGGGTGGGCGGTAGACTGGAGCGTTCTGGTCTTGCCAGAGATTGTAAAAACCCAATTTTAATTCCTAGCAATTCTCATTTTACTAATCTTCTAATTGCTGATGCACATGATAGGAATCTACATGGCGGACCTCAAGTTATGCTTAACTATTTAAGCACAAAATATTATATTCAGGGAGCCAAACGGTTGGTTACTGCGTGCGTACGAAAATGTGTAACTTGCTTGCGTTATACAGCTTCTACGAAACCTCAGTTAATGGGTCAATTACCACCTGCACGGGTTACACCAAATAGACCATTCAAGAGTAGCGGGGTAGATTTTGCTGGACCTATCAATTTGAGAACATCCAAGGGTAGAGGTCATCACGCATACAAGGGGTATATTTGTTTATTCGTCTGTATGGCAACTAAGGCGGTCCATATCGAAGCAGTTAGTGACCTAACAACAAATGGGTTTCTTGCCGCGTTTAGGAGGTTTGTAGCAAGACGTGGTCACTGCACAGATATGTGGAGTGATAACGGTACAAATTTTCAGGGTGCTTGTAGGGAGTTGGATACACTTCTTCGCTCTGAGAATTCAAAATTGGCTAAGGATATTGCTGCATCATTGGCTGGTGAGGGTACTACATGGCACTTTATCCCACCTCATGCACCGAATTTTGGCGGATTATGGGAGAGTGGAATAAAGTCGTGTAAAAGGCATTTAAATAGGGTAATAGGAAGCTCTACTTTAACTTTTGAAGAGATGGCTACATTATTAAGTCAAGTAGAAGCATGCTTAAACTCGCGTCCGTTGTATCGGTTAACAGATTCGAACAAGTTTGATGCCTTAACACCTGGGCATTTTCTTGTGGGGGAACCAATCACAAGCGCACCAGATCGTAACTATGAAGATGCAAATATTTCTAGCTTAAAGAGGTGGCATTTAGTACAACAGATGACGCAACATTTTTGGCGTCGCTGGTCCAGCGAATATCTGACTACACTTTTCCATCGTTATAAATGGTCAACTCAAAATCCAGAACCCAACATAGGAGATGTTGTATTAATTAAAGAGGATAATTTACCTCCCTGTCGGTGGCTGCTTGGCAGAGTGGTAGAAAAGCATCCGGGGTTGGACAATCTTACACGAGTAGTTACAATTCGCAGTAATGGTTCTATGCTCAAAAGGCCCACATCTAAACTGTGTGTCTTGCCTGTTGCCTAATTATATTAGTTTAGGATAACTTTAAGCCATATTGTTAATCTTATTTCTGTATTCGTTGTAACTTTTGTAACTTTAAAAGGACATAATGGTATAATGTCCTTGGTGGGCGGAATGTCTAACCGTCAAGCAAATGACATGTAAGAAACCCGCGGTTCAGAAAACAAGTGTTCCAACATTCGTCCATAGATGGCGCTTTTTATTTGAGATCGTTTTCTGAATCGCGGTGTTAAGATTCTCCGGCAATACTATAAGGGTCCAACGAATTTATTTGAATGTTGGTATCAATTTGTCACGTGCTATTGTATCGTAATTTTTATTGTACAATAATTCGGAATACAAGTGTTCGGTAACCACGACCAAGTACTTTTATTCAAATCAACCCCCAGCTTAACCCTCACGATACCCAGGGTTATCCAATTAGATCTTATACAATGTCCCTGGAAGTATGGCGTGTCCTATGTACTGCTTTCTGGTTAGTCCAGCACTTGTTAATATTTCTCTCTTTTAGTTATCATTCTTGGGTCGCCCTAGCTATAATATATATTTAGGTAGTGCGACCGTTGTCTGGTCTCTCCATTTTGAGTTCAGTCACAGAATAGATAACATACTCATAGGCAACCCACGTGGAGTCGCGCCACGTGTTACAGTTGAGCTGCACAGTACTACACGATGGCGCGGCGCGGCGCGGCGCTGGCGCGGGTGCTCACTCGCCGCGTTCCAAAGGTTAACAATCCGTTTGTTTACAATAATATACTATCGTATCGTGCAACATTATCAACGGTGGCTTATCAAATAATCAGTTACATGTTTTTATAATAACTATCGTGAGACATACTAAATTAAGTAAAAACGCGGGTTACTCACGTGAATATACTGAGAAAAGCTCTACTAGTTTCGAACCACAGAGGGGTTCTTCCTCATGAGCAGCGTGCGCGGTCGCGGCGACGTCGCGCAACTCACTGTAGAGCTTTTCTCAGTATATTCACGTGAGTAACCCGCGTTTTTACTTAAATCAGTTACATGTTATTATGTTGGTGAATAGGTAGGTCTCAACCTGTTACATGATACATAATTATAGTGCATTGGACGACGAACGCTTTCCTCAGTGGTTCCCAAACTTATTTTGTCTACTGCCCACTTTGAGAATAAATATGTTTTTAGCGCCCCCATTTTCTAACCTAGTTAAAAACCACTATAACTTCAAATTAAATTAATTAATTATTGTGACCTATATATGTACATTAACGGAGAATTCTAAACGAAACTTTTACTATACCCGCAACTTGAAACCTGAGCGCAGTAGGTAACATACAACGGCGCTTAGGTCTCAACTTAACTCTTACGGGCTCCACCTGCCCATAAGGATGATTATTGAAACGCAACTTTATAGTAATTCTCTGCATCACCCCATGGTTGACTGTTAGAGAATGCCACCCGGCATTAAGTCCGCCATCGTATGTTTGTTATACAGAAGTGTAAATAAATAAAAATAAATAATTAAACAGAGTATCTTTTATTAAAAATATAACTACAATAATCAATTCTTAAATGAAAACTAATGTGAAGGATGAATCTGTTTAATAAGTTTGTTGATGAAGCAAACGATTTCTCTTTTTAGTAAGCAGTGTTGTCACAGCACTAAATCCACGTTCACACAAGTATGACGATGGCAATGCTATCAAGAATCGTTGAACGAGTGACCACAATCCAGGGTACCATTGCGGGATCGGTTTTTGTAGCCAAAATTCTTGGTAACCATTTTTGAACTTTATTTTTGTTTCCTCGTTTGTTGTCAATTCTATAAGTTTTTCTTCCAGCTGAGGCAGACATTGCTGTATTGACATTTGAAAACGGATCCAACACCCAGTCTGGTATTTCCAAGTTCAAAATGTCCTGGTATCGTTCGGTGAAGTCAATGTGAAGGTTTTCCAAATGTTGGCAGTAGGCAAGCTATTCGTCATTACTGCATGATACTGATAAATTTGGAAAATTGTGAAACTCACGTCTGCCCAGATTCTTTTTGTGTAGAAGTAGTTTGGCTGCGAAAGCAGCAACAAAGTTTTTTGTTTTAATTAAATTTAGTTTATCGCCTTGCAGTTGGAGATTCATGTCGTTTTATTTACACAATTTATACAGGTCTGTCATGTCTGCCTATATCATTCTTTGACGTTATGAGCTTGTCGTTCAATTCTGTATATTTAGTTTCCAATAACTCTTTATCAGAGTGAAACAGGTTATAAAATCGAGTCAGACAATTGCCTCTTGATAGCCAACGAACTTCAGTATGAAACAACAAACGGTTGAAATCCTCGTCATTAATAACACAAAGCTGATGAAATAATCTATCATTCAAAGAGCTGTTGCGGATTTTATTGCAACTTTGATGATAGCAACTAAATGTTGTCTATAAATAACGCAATGTACACCAAGAACATCTGGAATTTTATTTTTTAAGTACGCTATGAAGCCTTTATGGCACCCTGTCATAGCCGAAGCGCCATCCGTAGCAACTGAAATATTATTTTTCAATTCATATTAGTTGATGTTCACAAGTTGTTGTTGAGAGTCGAGAGCTCTTTCAGTTGTTGTTTAAGAGGCCTCGTAGCTAAATAAAATTACAAATCACCCACTATAGCGAGAGCTCAGTCGGTGTCTAAGAGTCCTCCTAAATGAAATCCCCCCCCCCCCCTCCTCCCGCCTCTACACAACGCCCCCATTTTCTTTTTGGGTCTCTTACCGCCGCCCTTGAGACCTGCAGCGCCCACGAGGGGGCGTTATCGCCCACTTTGGGAAAGACTGCTCTAAGAGAAAGCTTTTTTGTGAGCAGCTGTAAATAGGCGTTCCCTTTTTCATATATTTGCAAGAATATTTTATTGTTTCTATCTCCTTCCTATTTCCTATGGGGTCCTCCCCTTGCGATGTGGAGGGGATCGTGTATATCGGGACTCATGATGGCACGGAATTCGTATATGTATTAAGTTCCATTTGAGCAAGTAGCGTAATATAAGTTTTGACGATGAATATTTGATGGCTGATGACGATCGCGCCACCTATTGGTATCCGTTTTAAATTATCTATTATATTGTTTTAATATGGCAATAGGTGTCACTTCTTACCTACCTAAAGATTAAAACCATTTATCATGAAAGTCGTAAACTATATTCTTAATGTCGTTGTTTTTCTATTTGTTTTAGAAAAAACTGTG